AGGGGATCATATTGCAACTGCAGATAATTCGCGGAAAGAAAAAATTCAATTTTTCCAGATAATACACTACTCATTGATTTGCGATAATGTAATCAATGTATTCTGTTTTTTTCCTCTCGAAGATTCGTCGTACATTAAGTATGAACGCTTCTAAATTGTACGCGCTTCTCTCTAGTTCTATAAAAAATTTCTTTTGCTGACATTTTTCCAAGATCAAATATCCACTTCTTCGACGTAACTCAAATTTGTGTATTCCTAATATAAATAGTGTAATACAATTGCTTCGTTTAGAAAAAATTCCTTTCCGTATTAACAATACGTGTATAAAGTCAGCTTTACATATTCATAATTTTTATTAGTATGCATCTCTTGGGTTTCGAAAATTGTCATGTTAAATATACAAACGTTCTTTTTATGTTTTATAGCGGCAGTGCGAAGGTAAGTAATTTAGACGATCTTACGATAAGGATACGGATGGGAAAAAGAACTCTTTTGTACAATTATTGTACAAAAAGGCAATCTCTACCTCGTATCACTATTGGAGATAAAGACTATCGTTATATCATAAAAATTTGTATGAAATCGATTGCCTCCACAAATGTGCCATTCGTCCAAAGTATTCAATAAAGCTAAAATATAACTGCAGCCATTATGGAACAACGTCATTTATTAATAATAACTATATTATCTATGTATATATATATATATATATATTTATATAACATACCTGCTTTTAAAGCAGATAGATGTGCTTATAGAAAAAGGAAGGTTTCTTTACTTTGTGTTTGTCGTAGCGATTATCTGTATAAACTGTATGAAATTATTAAACTATTCCCATTCGTGAGATCGACGCTTTTTTTTTCTTTTCGTCTTTTGGGCACTGTCAATAAAAAGGAATAAATTAATAATAACTTTGTTACTTTCGGTTTTTAAAGCTTCATATACAATCTTTGCTATGTAATAAATACATTTCTATAAAATTTCTTTTTTCTTTATCCTTTGCACTGTAATGTCCCTGTAGAGTAATATTATCTAGGAGTAGAGACAGAGAGAATATAAATCGGAAAAAGAGAAGAATACAGGTATTACAATTTAATACTTTAAATGTAAAAACGAAAACAGTCTTCATCTTGTCGCAGCGCAGCTGATCAAACTAAAGGAGGCAAGGGAAAACAAGGACGGATCTAGACATTACATGCGTGAACCCTTCTGCTGCAAAACCTAGAATGTAATCCAATAATCTAAACTTAATAAAAATAGTATTAATCTCTTGCACTTATAACTACAATGCTTAACTCTAATTACAAGATTTTATGACGGCAATTAAAATTATGTTCAATTTTTATTTTATCATAGAAAAAAAGATTGTTCCGCCTCTGTTACATTGTTGCCATATATAAACCAATAAAGTAAGAGGTACCAATAACATTAATTTAACCATGGCTACTTTGTTTCCCAAAAGCTACCCTCGTCGAAAAGCAAAACCCGTATGGTTATTAGTACACCATTTCAAATTATTTTTTATGTTGTACAAATAAATCGTAATCATAAGCTACCGATGGTAAAATATACAATATGGACAATTCACTCTTATGTCGCATAAGGGACACAATGTACGATGAATAAGTTTAGCATGCAATAATGATCTCATGCAGGTCACGGGGCATAAAGTAACCAAACCAATGAAAGAAAAAATTCTTTATTCAACGAACGGCATGCGGTACAATAATAATAATAATATGGTACATACAACAAATATCAGAGGCAGAACATGCTCATGCGAACAGGCCTCTGGGTTTTATAGATCATTAGGTGGTTATTTATTAGTTAATAAGGCTTTAAAAGACAACATGTGAATATATACATATGTATATTTAAAGCCTATGTATACAAAACATATGTAAATAATATATATATATATATATATATATATATATATATTTGGAAATCCGATTCCAGATTTAAAAAATTTGATTTAAAAAAGTCAAATCCACCTAATAAAATCTGTTGCTGAATACTTCACGTCTCTACAACAAAATTTTCTTCTTCTTCATATTCTGTTCTCTCTTCTGTGTGAAAAACAATTAAGCAAAATAATTCTAAGCAATCGTCAAGAATATTGCAGAAAAATATATAGAAGAATGTATTGCTGAATTAAGCGTGACTGATAAGACGTGAGATAAATTTAATCTCGTAATAAATGTGTGTGTATGTATTGTATATATCATATTTGTCAAATATACAGTAATAAAGATTATCTTTGGTTTTCTACCCAATTCAATCCAACCGTCAGTATAGGCAAATGTTAATATCAAAAATAATACTGTTTTTTTTCACCTTAAAACCGGTAAAAATATGTGTTATTTAATTTCACAATAGCATTAGAAATTAAGAAAAATCAATGTTAGACCGCAAGAGCAGATCTCAGGATTGCTTTCTTCTAGACGAGAAGAGGTGAGCAGATATTCATTACTTTTCTTGTGTGATCCAACGTGAAAAACAATAATACCAATATGGATTACTTAGGGTATACAATTTTACTTAAATGATAAAGCACCCAGTAAAAACATGATTGAATCCCAACTAATAAACCTATGTCTATCATGTATTGGATATAACAAAAACATAAAAAATAATCGCATTAGCCGTGGCTACTTTGGCTCAAATAAGGATGGGAAACAGTCGAATAGGATAGTGGTACCTTGACGCGATCCGTGGATTCCTCTTCTTTACTGCTGAGCTGACTAGGTCCATATTCTCGGCTTACCACACATAGAAACTCAGCATGATCGTCATTACCATAGTTATATTGAGAACCTATATTGATTAGCTGTAAAAACAAAGAAATGAACATATATATTTAGAAAAAGGAACGTTGCAAATTGTTAATTATACAGGAAAAGGTATAACAATCTCAATGAGATATAAATCAAGCAAGTATACATGAATACTCAAATACCTGTTCGAATCTCCAGCCATCCGACATTGTGGACACCATTTGTGTCAGCTCGTCCTCGTGACATTGGAGAACTCTGTAGACGTGCTTCTTGGAATCCCTTTGTGGCCGCGTATCCCTCAAAATGATTCTTTCTTTGACTAGTCGAATGAGCTCGGTGATATTGTAAAATTCTGCCTCCTCTAGCACCCCTTCTTCTGTAAGGTCCTTGTTGATAACTAGCTTACCATGACGGAGGTAATTCAGGACTGGGCTGAAGTACGTTGGGTCGCGATCTATCAGGTACGCTCCCGTCTCGTCCTTAGGAAAACAAAACGGGAGTTCATTCATCGCCTCGAGTGAAGAGGGAAATGGGGAAAAGTGGTATCTCTATTGAGAATAGAAGGAACTCGTTCTTCTTCTTCATGTCGACGTGGATGTCGAGACACGATGATCGTACAAGCGAACGCGTTTGAAATTCCCGGTAAGAAAGAATGTCAACTAACCCTGTCTGAAATGAGGTCTGAGTCTTCCTGGCACAATCGGTATAGAAACGAGTTCGGATCTCGCGCCAGGGTGGTCTTTGCCGTTAGAAAATACGTCCCGCCCACGTTCAGTCGCACCCACTGATTATTGCTCCGCTTGCCGACATGATTCTCTGTCATCTCGTGCGAGTTCGTGTCGCCGAAGTCCGCCATACTTGCATTGGCATCAATTGACATTAAGGAGCGCCGGATAAGGTTAGATCGTGGGACCCCATGGACGGCTGATCAGTGCAGTGACTGAATTCGCCGTGAAGTTATTCGCGCACTTGAAAGAATCGAGAATACAAAACGATATTCAATTAAAAAGCTGCGCCATTTTGTAATTTTATTATCAATGTTCAATTAATTCCAATCTTAATTTTAATCTTAATTTTAATCGGCTTAACTTATTCTTAATTATTTAAATATTTGTTACTCTCAATTTAGATTAATTTCAATCTTGATTTCATTTGGTCTTTATCTCTTTTTAAATCTTAGAATTAAAGAGAGATGAAAAGCTAAACTGAAATTAAAGTTAATCCACGCTGATAGAGAAGTATTTTCCTAAATTCGAAACGGTCAGCGTGTGTCAAGCGGAACTTCCGGTGTGAAGTTTTCGGCGCTCGCCATCTCGAGCGAAATTTCGATGCCTGGAATTTTTTCTCTCGCGCGAAGAGAAAAAGGGAGAAAGACAAAAAAAATAAACGAAAACAATACCACGGACACGACGTTCTAGGAAACTCTGCGTAAATCCCGCCCGCGGAGAAAATTCACGCTCCCTTCCGCGCAAAGCGCGCCCTGAGCCCGCTCGCGATCTGGGTCTGGGTTCGAGGCTTGGCGCATAAAAACGTTTGCACCCCCGTGGATTACCGGCAGTCATTGCGACACGATCATCCTATCGTGATATGCGGGGCGCCGCGTCGCGCGTCGTCACCGCCGCTGCCGCCGTCATCGTCGTTACCATCGTCACCACTATCATCGCCGTCGTCGCCTCCGCCGCCGCCGCCGCCACCGTCACAGCCGTCGTCGCTGTCGCAGCCGCGGACAACGATTGAACGTCGCGCTGCACGCAAGCTCGGAGGAACGAGGCCGCGCGAGGATGCCGGTGAAGGTCGACGTGGTACCGCCACCGCCCGCGAATTCGAAACAGCCGGGTGTCACCAAGTCCCTGCTGTACAATGGCTCGCGCTTCCAGGGCTCGCAGAAGTCCAAGGGCAACAGCTACGACGTGGAAGTGGTTTTGCAGGTTAGTCGTGCCTCCCCGTGCCCCTCTGCCTTCGCCGTCCCATACCGCCATCCGTGCCGCCGTTATGTCGTCACTTTTCGGAAATTGCGCCACAAATTGGCGAACGGCGTTCACGCCGAAACGCGGTCTTGGGGAGGGGGCGGGACGCGTCGAGGACGACGACGACGACGGCGAGGATGCGCGAGATGTGCTCTCCCTCGCTCTTTCCCGGCAGCAGACGATGCGCGTATTTGTGTACAACCCGAGTTAATGAAAGCTGGCACAGGGTCGTTGATGGTAGGAGGAAAACAACCAGTGGATTATTGGTTCCGGGTATAATTTTTTTATCTCTTGCTTTTCCATTGCAGCATGTGGACGAGGAAAATAGTTACCTATGCGGTTACTTGAAAATTAAAGGTTTGACAGAAGAATTTCCGATACTTACGACATTTTTCGATGGTGAGATTATCTCCAAGAAGTACCCCTTCCTGACTCGTAAATGGGATGCTGATGAAGATGTTGACAAGAAACACTGGGTTTGTATCAATTTTTATTGTCCAAGCTATCATTGTCCATGAAATATTATTAGTTGTATATCGTTTCTCATTCTTATTGTAGAGTAAATTCGAGTCATTCTGCCAATATGCCAAAACATTCAACTCCGACACGTTCGATTACGAAGCGCTAAAAGGAACGGATTTTGTTTTTATGAGGTGGAAGGAACACTTTCTGGTACCTGATCATACTATCAAGGATATCAATGGTGCCTCCTTTGCAGGATTTTACTATATTTGCTTCCAAAAATCTGCCACCACGATAGAAGGCTTTTATTATCATCGTAGTTCTGAATGGTAAATACAAGTTTAAAAGTAATTAATATCAAAAGCCTGACTAATAATATTTAATCTTTGGATACATTCTTGGATACAATAAAATTTAAAAAGATGTAACAATTATAGAAACAATATGGAATGATTGAAATGATTTTGTATATATTTTAGGTATCAATCCTTGAATTTGAGACATGTCCCGGAGCACAGTATACAGATTTATGAGTTCAGGTGAAGTCGATACCTTTGCTGAGAAATCTCACGATAGCCGCGTGTTTTCTTCTCTAGCATACAGATCTCATAAAGATTTGTCTTAGAAATTTTTATTGGAAGCAGCCTAACGAGTCTGTTTTTGATTATGACGCGTCCTGAAATTTTGGGAGAGATTTACAGTGAAAAATATTTTATGATTTTATGATTTTCTTAGTCGACTATATTAGAAATCATTCAGATTTTTTTCATACGAGAGTGCCTATTTAGTAATTGATCGACTATAGATCGATTAATTATTTCAACATTGTAAAATTATTTTTCGTCAAAAATAAATTACCTGATACATATCATTTTAAATTATTGGTGTTATTATTTGACAAATTTTTGATACGCTTCATAGTATTTGCTTACCATCATTGTTTATAATCTACAAATACATTCAATATTTTGGTAATCAATTTTATGACCATTGACTGAAATAATAAATACAAATGCTTGATGCACGATCGGATAAAATCAATAATTAAATCGCGCTTTTAAGAATTTAATAAAATCAGGATAAGCTAAAATAATTATTTACGGGCAAATCTCTCTTATTTTGTATTTCTTAAGATTTATGAGATCTGTTTGTTACATTAGAAAAAGGTCCCAGTGTAATTGTTGTTTGAATGAAGCTGTATGTATGTCGCAAAAGTAAGAAGAAAATGGAAATAGTAATCATGAAAGAGTTATATCGAGGTTTGATCCGTGTCTTACGTTGAAAACATTTATTTATTTATTTCACGCGATCGAATTTTATCGAACTCTTAATATATTTTATACATATACATATATGAAATATATGTATACTTGATTTTAAGGATAGATATTAGACACATGTTGGCTGTTTGTAAAACTCGTCTTCATGGTTTTAATCAAGTGTTAATTAAATATACCAATTCTTTTAGGGAAATAGTACGCCGTTGTGATAAGCATAACCGTAATATACACACACACACACACACACACACACACACACACACATACATACATACATACATACATACATACATATATACATATATACATATGTATACATATACGAATGTATATAAGTTACAAACTATAATAGGTAATTCTATAGCTGATCCGAGATTTATATTGGCATACTGCAGCTTTCATTTGCACGTGATGGCAGAACCGTTCTCGATCCCCGGTGATATTGACATTTCAAATGGCATTATATGCTATATTATTTTCGATATTATGTTTATTAGCATTGTTAAATACTAATAATTTTCTTTTTGTTTTTCTTTTTTATATCTGTGCTATTAATCTTATCTAAATACTCAAACTAATAGAACAGTACATGCGCTGTTTACAATAAATGCATACCGAATCGATAAGTTCGTGTAGCAAACACTTTGGATATTGGAAAACGTAGGTACATACGTATGAGAGATACATATTTAATATAATATATCAGATACCTTAAGAGAGTACATTGATATTGTTAATTATATTAAGCTGACCTCTATTATACAAAAAATACCATCCATTGTTATCCTTATTTGTAAGTTATATGTTGTGTTTCTTTAAGAAAAATATCTTTATATTGCCAGTTATTGATATCAGTTATATATTTACACGAGCATGCTGAATGTCACATATCAATCTGGAATTGCATCTTTTTAATACGATATTATGTTTTCCTTTGCAAACGAAACTTATTAATCTCGAACGCCAATGAAATCCAATTCTTGCTTATACAGCAGGAAATATTTATTTACGGTAATAGATGCGTTTAGTGCACAGTTGTCTGGGATTGTTTGAATGGTTGCTTCATAAGAGATCCATGAGTTCATAAATATTTGATTTATTTTCACTATACAACCGCATGTGCTTTAAAGTGGAACATAATTGAATATAAATCGGAGTCAGATTTCTCGCTATTATATAAATAGAATCATGTAGATGGGATATATTGATGAAAGTTTACAGTGCTCAAATTAACAAGAAAGTAGTGATACAAGTTGCCAGGGAGAAAACCTTGCCGAGTCCAGCGATTAAATTCAGTAAGAAAATCGATTAAATTAATTAATCGTAACTGAACGGTAGTTAATAAAGTAGAACCTGTTTATTATACACAGCAGGTGTATGAAACAAGCTCTCTATTATTCAACAAAAATTAGAATTTCACTGTTAAATTAGAAGCATTTGGCAAATAGGACGGCATTCTCCATTCTTCCTTTTCTTAATATGTCGCCCGTTTAGTGAATATCTCTTTGTATATGAAATATGTTATTCTCTTGTAACAAAATAATGTGTGTGTGTGTGTGTGTGTGTGTGTAATTAACGTATGACTGTTTATTAAAGAAAATTTGGTATTCGAAATAGGAAGTTCGTTTTGAAGTCTTTACATACAGATTACATGCACTGCATAATGCATAATGTGAAGTTAAGTTTATTTCGTACATCTCACAGACAAGCACATCGTGTTTTATATATATTCATATAAAATAATATTATAATTCTTTCTTTATATATACACAGAATATAATTTAGTTAAATCTAACGTAATATAAATATACATCTCATGTGCTTTCCTGGCATCGAGTGATTTGTTATAGACATATCGTTAGAGATCGAGTGTGTTTTCTATCTATATCTCTATCTATATTACACACAAACGCATCTCCTGCAATCTTACACTGTACAAATGAACTTACATTTAGGTAACATTAAATAAGACAACACTCTTAAATAAAACGGAGAGAATTTTCCGAATTTCATTAAATACGGAACGGAATAAAAATCGTATCGCTTCGCGCGATACAATCCATAGAAAAAGAAAGAGAAAGAAAGAGGGATAAAACATCGAGAAAACCTGATTTCGATCGATCAACATAAGGTAATATAAAAACTCGTGCCGTAGAAAGAGTCAATCTTATTGCTCTTTATAAAACCGTCTCTTAAAAAATATATAGCTCTTCCGCGCTCTCGGCATCGGCAACCATCGGTTTCCGATAATAAAACGGTCTTTTGCATCGACAAGCAATTGAAAATATATTTATATATTTATATATACCGCTAATGTATCTCGAATTAGCTGCTCTAGACTTTCTACACTTACGTTATCGTCATTAGTCTACACCACAACCACCGTAGACTTAGCGAACTTGTACTTTTCAATTCATTACTCGCTGCTCTCGTAATTTTATCAATCGAGGAAAGATCATTCCGCGCAGAGATACGTTTGTGAGGGAGGGACGTTTTTTCCAGCAACGGCCAAAAGAAACAAAGTTGCTTATATAGACTTTAAAGTATGCACACTCGAATCGTGTAATGTATATCGGTCAATATATTATATGGGTGTATATTTTATAAACTTCCGTAATCTGTAAACGCATTCTCCTTTCACGATGCAAAATCCATGCGAGCTCTGTGATCGATGACACTACGCCGTGTAACACTTGATAATGTTCAAACAATTTTCTGTGCTTATAATGTGCTTCTCTCATTCCTGATCAACTGATGGCACGAATACACGATAGTTCGTCTCCCTTAAGCTCGTTAATAACCGTTCGGATCGTAGACTGTGCGCGCGGTTCGCGAATGTGAAAATATATATGAAATGTAATCTCGCGTGATATAAACGCAACAAGTATATCCGTCAACGTTGGCAAGTGATAGTGTATATACATACACTATCTCGTAAATCTAACAGTAATTACTATGAATCTTGAAACAACATTGTAAGCGCGTTTGCATCCTCGACAGAACGGGGAGAGGGAGAAGGAAGAACGCTGATTGTTGCATGATGTTTTGTAAGTAACCGCTACCCTGACTTCTGTTGTTCTCTGTCGTTCTCAAGACACCGTGCATGAATTGCGACCGACGCAGCTTGTCCGGGAATCAGTGATGCTACCAGGCGAGCTACCAGGCGTCGATAGCCCATTACTATGGCCCACTCCGACAAAGCGTAGCTTCCGATGATGCGATCCCAGACTCTTGCTGGAGCTCAACGAACGATTGCCGTTGTAGCGCAGTTGGGATGTGGTCGTCATCGCATACGACTTCAAGTGTGATTTGATCGTCTTGGGCAACGGCAGCTGTTCAATACCGTAAACTGTTGTGCGAGCCACTATCGCGCGGCACGCCAATTCTTGCAAACTGAGCACTATAAAGCATATTAATCTCATAATTCCGAGTATCATAGACCTTAGAGAATCTCAGACAGATCATTTATCAATACCTTTATTAGATCGCCATAATCTTTCCATGCCGTTTCTATGTAACGCCATCCGAGACAGTTCCGAGAAACTTTCGCGAATGTTGAAATCGCAGAGGGGCGAGACTTCAAAGAATGCCATTCGATTCTTGGCAGCATAAGCCTCCGCATCTCGTTCACCTACCTGTCTCTTGAAAGCCAAGTGTAGACGATTGCCAACCAGCACTTTTGGTACACCTGGTGCGTGCTATACAGTTTCACATCAAGATATATATTTGAAAAATCTTAAAATTAAAAAAACCTAAAAGATTAATGATAAAATCTTATATTGTTACTAACTTCTTCCACTTCTTTTAGCCATCTGTCTATGCCATCAAAGGACCATTTATTGGTAATATCGTACACCAAGAGTATGCCTTGGGCACCTCTGGAGTAAGATCTGATGATCGTGCAGAATCTACCTTGGCCTGATGTATCCCATAATGTAGCTTTACTCGCTTTCCATCCAATA